GGGGGCGTTATAATGTGACGGTCAATTCCACTATTCGTTGGTAAAAAAGTAGCCCAAGAGTTGGCGGTGGGTGGTGATGACTAGCTGCCTTTCTCTACTCTTACACTGCCAAATTAGGGACGGCTAGCGCAGACAGCCCTCGTGTAGCTTTGCGTGAAATGCAAAACAAACAAACAAGTAGACAAGTGAAAAATAAGCGGAAATCAATGCAATGAATTTTCCTATGTCTTTAACTCTAAGTTTAGAATATCTGTTTATTCAGTCCGACAATGAGCACACTCACTGAACAAAAATTAAATAAGTAAAATGCTATCCATCTTAAAAGTACAAACACTATCTAATAACGCACTTACGCAGATCTAAAAAGATGTCTGGCATATTGCCTAGCAAGTTGACTGACAGACAAGAAAAAAATCTGTATTTCCTATGATTAAATAACTTAGTCATTCCGTTATTAATCTCACTGATTTGATAAGGTACCTGGCTCTGCTACGTATGTAAATTAAGTGTTGTGAAACATCCAGGTGAAACTTAATTAACACAAGTGCTGTATCAAATAGGTCTGCTAAATAACAGAAGATTCGTTCAAAGTATCTATTATGGAGTAATACTAAAACTTTTATTAATTAAATTGATGTAAAATGAAATAACGAGATTGGATACGAAGTATAAATCAAATTACACAATCTTTATTCTAGACTAAACAAGAAACACAATGTTTGTACTTATTTAAATATTAAACACGAAGGACCATCGCTCTATGTGGATATTTTCATTTGTTAACTTTCATGATTATTTTCAGGTTATACTCACCCAAGATGATGTTTTAGACAGACTGACCAATTATAACATTTCTGAGCACACAATAAACCTAAGATTTACCTAAAGCAACCAGGGCTACGCACGTGACTGGTCGTTTTAATCCCAACATAGATGAGATCATCACCTCTAGATATCACTTGAACAACTGTTGAAGGACACTGAAGTCGACATATATAATCAACGCTCATTGTTGTGCAATATCCTTCCTGGGTATAACAGGCATTATCCACTTCAAGAACAACACAGGAACAAAGGTAGCTTAGAACAAAATCAACTTAATGGTTTTATCAACTAGCTACCTAACAATCAGTGTGTGTGTGTGTGTGTGTGTGTATGTGCACTCATCCTCCAGTAGTCACTCCCCTGTATAAGAGAGAGATTTAAAAAAATAGTTTTGGTGAAGAGACAATCCATTACTTTTGTATGAGAATTTTCCCTTCAAAATTATATAGGACTAGAGGATTTTTAAAGTTATTGTTTATTAAACTTGCTTTATCACAAGACTAAAAATCTCAGTACAGAGTACCGAATGTCAATTAAAGTTCAAGTGTTCAACCATCGCGGTGTTTATGTTAAACTGTTAATATTGTATAGGCAAGCATTTACAAGGCAATAATATTTAGCTCTTTAAGCCCATAATTTTTTACGCGTTTTGCCGGAATTATTTGCACGATTTCTTAATAATTATCACCATACCTTATAAAGTTTCAGTTTTCTTAATTTTGTTTTTTCCTTCAGCATCAGGAGTAGCCACATGAAGCATTGTTGAGTAAATAGCCTCAAACCTCTCCCTCTTGAGCATTTGATGTCACCTTTTGATGGGTAAATCGGGATTTTCGGCCGGACGCTGGTAGTGCCCGCTTGGGTTTAAGGAGTTAAACCACCATTCTGATGGTAGTGCTGTATGCACAATTTTATACTTGGTTCAAATCAATAGGATTATTTGTTTGTTTATAGAATTTTGCGCAAAACTACTTGAGCCTATCTGTATTAACTATATCTAATTTTGAAGTGATAGATTAGTGAGAAAGCAGCTAGTAAATATCACCAACTACTGGGCTACTATTGTGATATTTTCACATAAAAACTGATTTTCAACAAGTATTAAGTACTTAGACTCCTTAATAACATTAGATTCGCTCGGGAAATAAAGATAGTAACCTCAATCTGATAACTTGATTAAGTCTTCCTAGTGTGTGTGAAATAATGAGACTGGACAAAACTGACAAATTAAAACAATTTTTATTATAGAACAGATAAAAGAAAATGCAGTATAAGCATTTTTGTGCATAGTTGCTTCTATTGGAGGGTAATTAGCTCCACAGTATTCTTTCTCTCAAAACAGACTTCTGTCACACTAATAGTGATATTCTTAAAGTAGATGAACCCGGCATCAAATCGTTAGAGGTTTCTAGGCCTAATTTAATGCCATTATTACAATGTGCAGCGCCCTCTTTCCAACATCTAAATATTATAAATATAGATTATAACAATGTGATATTTCTAATGCCAATAGCGCTAATACTAACAATAGTTGATTCTAGATCGCGTGTAGCAAATGGCGGTCAGTTTAGTTATTTATCTCCAGTGTATATGTAATTATAACGAAAGTGTGGACAACTTCCTATAAAAAATATATAACAACTCATAACAACCAAGTCACTGTATAGCTTAGGTATTACTTTGCCATGACTTACACATGGGCTTCTCTTTTCCGAACGTAAACCTAACAGACTAACATCAACCCTTATTTAAATACGAACGTACAGCTATCTATGAGTTGAACTTACTGTTAGAGCATACCCCTGCCGGCTCCTTCCTCTGGATATTGAAAATTTTCGACAATTCTTGACTACCTACCCCATAGCATACTTAAGGTTCATTCTTTTATGTTTTTACTTTTACTGTGTTTTGAAATTTGAAGACTATACTATTAGTAAATAGATTGTTATTATACAATTTACCGGTATATTCCTCTGTCTTAGATCCAAAAAATTAATAGTAATACTGGAAATAGTTCAACAGTTATGAAAAGCAAAATATACAAAAGTGAAATAATTTACAAGTTACTGTAATTAAATTTCACTATTTGTAGAAAGGGTGTTAATCAACGCAGTGCTGCTTGAATTAAATGGAAGGCCTACACAATTTTTGTTTACTTACAAGTTACAATTTATGTTTGTTCCACATTTCTCAAACCAAGCTAAAAACGGTGAGACTATGTAGTTGAGATTTTGTTTTGCACTTTGCAGGTAAGATAATGTAATTTTTAAGACTACGCTCGTTTGTTAACATCCTGTAAATTGTAATGTATAGTACCTTGTAAGTTGTATAGAATTTCACTGATTTTTAAGTTTGATAGGGAAGATAATGATATTGATTAAAAAAAGTTAAATTTGCGTGTTTTGTACTACATCAGTACATGTCTTACTTTGAGATCAGGACAAGCACATATACCCCAGAGTCGTAATCACTATAACTGATTGCTTTAAATTTACAGTTACTGAGTTAGGCAATTTTGTTCTCTCTAAATAAGGATATGTATATGGATGATGGTTACAGTTTACACACCTCAGCAACAATACTGTTGAATCATAGAATGTGTTATTGCATGATGTTAAACAGTTATGTTTATATAAGTATAACTCACAGTAATAATAATATTTCATTATTAATTACAAACTTTTTTCTAGTACAATTTTTTAAAATTTTCAGGGTGTATTCCATACACAGATACCATATATAACAAATTTAATATTGTATATATACAAGAGGATGTGTATATGGGCATATGTTTCATATATAGCTGAAGACCTCCCTCCCCACTTTTAAAATATTTTTGTAAAATAAAACTTCTAAATAAAAACTGTACTTGTTATAAATTTTTAATTGAATAACCGTACATGCAGTTTTTAAGAATGATTTACATGAGTTTATAGTTATCAAAATTATATTTGACTGTAACTACATGAATCTGAAATGTTTAGAATTTAGACTAACCCCTGTGATAATATCGTAGCTATGGTAATATATATATATATATATATATAAGATAAGAACATGAAGCTTAATTGTTAAACTAACAATAGTGTCATCAATATTGAACCCATGTCAATACCCAGTGTAAATGTAATGAATTTTCCACTTAGGCTAATGTTATGGGTTTTTATTAAGCTATGAAGTTGTGGTTTGAGACTTGAACATAAGTTAAATGGTCAAATGTCACTGTTTCTAAAATATATCAAGCTGGAGAATTTATTATGTTTGATATGCTTGCCTTTTAGTTATTGTATTGCTGGTTAAGTCTAACATTACTTGAAGTTCTGTACAGTTTTTGTCATTTATGAGACTGTGTCTCATGTGAAGAGTGACTGAGAGCTTGAACTAGGTGGCATATAAGATAAACAACATGAGTTTCTTGTAATGTAAGTTATATCAACAAAACTACTACATAACATTTAATATTATAGACTTTGAGGTGTCAAGTGTTATCATGTACACAAAGCTACACGTGAACTTAAAAGTAGGATACTGCACTTTTATGAAAACATGAAAATTAACTATCTAGGCTAAAAGTGTTAATGGGAAAATTGTAATTATTATATTCTTATGGTAGGATTTGCTTATTGTATGTTTTGGTATTACAGTATTAATCATTAAAATATATCTTAAAGTACTTTGGGTTTTATTTTTAACCCAGTAGTGTGTTTTTCAAAAAGGATGATACTAGTGGGGATGGGGAGGAGAAAAAGGAATACCTGCCTCCATCCTATCCCTTGCATTCATCAAGAGGCTACCAATTTTGAATCAAAGTCATGAAAAAATGTACAAAGTTCTCCGATGTTAGGCAAGGGAAAATGTGGCTGTATAGAGCTATTTACATGATGGAAATTTGATTTTATTGTTCTCATGAATTTTAATCTTAATGTTTATAAGTATTAAGCCTAGCTGAAAGTTTGTTTATTGTTAGCATTGAAAATATCTTTTTTTTTTTAAGTATAGTTGGTAAGAGATACAATTGATAAGTATAAGTAAGAATGATGATGATGTATAAACCTTTGTAGTAGTTTAATCAAGTATCTGATTTAGGCTGGATAGCAAAAACATTTTAAAATTTTGTTAAAGAATTTTATAGTTTATATTTTCATATAGCAAGTTGTAAAAGTAAATAATTGATAAATAACGAATTGTGTAAACAGTATACTTATAGGCTTAAGGCTGATTTGTGTGAAAGGAACCAGTAATGTATATGTATGACCGATGAGGCAATGACATTTTGTCATCTTATGTGTTATGATCATATCAAATCAATACATGAATAAAAGTCAATTAAACATGTTTATGATTTTGTGATTTTTTATTTTATTTTTTCAGTTTTATTATAATCCTTGGCATGAACTAAACATGAAATGGCAGTTTGCATAAAAAGTATTAGGTAAGTGTAAGTTGCAATTTCAACTGGTAATTCTTGTTTTAAACATTTAACAGCAAACTAGATGCATACATGGTATAGCTGTTGGGTTTTCATTCGATATAGGGCCTTATTTAGTGAATTGCTACTTATTATGCATAACTTATTTCATCAAATTTCTTAATAATAAAGATGAAAAATTGTAGCGTGACATCTTTTACTTTTCTAAATATTCTGGCCATGTAAATTTAACTGTTACTGATTTTTAAATTGTTCAAAGGTGTAATATTGTTACAGAAGGTAAAAGAAAATTATTTCATTAAACATTTTGGTCCTTTATTTTGCATGATTGCAAAAATGCTATTTAATCAAAAAGTAGTAGTTATAAATACTTTAGTGTTTGTGGTCAAAGGAACAGTTTATCTTGTTAATTGAAAATAAAGAATCTTAACTTAAAAAAAAATTATCTTAGAACTGTTTGGCTATGGTTATCATACTAAGTTTGCCAAAACTTTGTTCTCTCAGTTGCTGTTAATTTCATCCAGACAAATGGAGTACATATGCATCACTGTAGATGTTTTTCATATGTTTACATGTATTTTAAAAGAGTAATATCAATTGTGTCAGTAATACTATTTCTTGATTTGCAGAAAAAAAAATTATGATTTACAGTTAGTGTAATGAGGCATAAAAATGATCAAACTTACAGTTAATATTTTTGGAATTGGTGTAAATCTAAAAATAATCTGTATTTCTAACGTAAAGAAAAGCTTTTTTTAACAGAAATTTTTGTGGAATTTTATTTAGTTTTTTTGGTTTGATGATATATGTAAACTCCAAGCTATACAAGATAAAGAATACTTTTACTGTTAAGTTATTTTGGCTATGATATTACAGAGAAAGCTTCTGGAAAACCATAAGTTCTACTGTAGTGTCATTTTGTATTATTTAAAAATCCTAAGGCTTGTCAAAGTTTAGATGCTGAAAAAAATTCTCATTTCTAATTTGTCTTTTATTATCTTATTAGATCCTTTTCACAGGCTATTAGAAAATCACTTCATCTGGGGATCAGAGAGGTAAGCTGTAGGTACTAAATTTAAAATTAAACAAAAAAATTCCAAAACATACTTACCTCCTCTCACACTACAGCTATTACTTGACTGCTGGAATTTCCTTCCTTTGCCCATCTAAGCATTGGTCTGATTTTTCCTCATTTGCTCCAGTCTTTTATTTCCCACTTAATTGCTCTTGGCGATATCTGTCTCATGACACTCTCCACCTACGTCAATGCGTCCTCTATCCTGGTACTGTATATAAGCACCTCATTCAGATAATATTATCACTTTTTTCCTGACAAAGTGTTTACCAACAGGTTTCTTTGTACTATGAACCATTGGAGATACTTTGAGTGTTCTTTGTGTTATCTAGTTGTTTTGTGCAAAAAAAAATAAAAAATTTGTTTTTGTTTCACAAGCCGATACACAGAATGAATTCTTGGATTATTGTTTCTGATAGGGTGTCAAATCAGGTCTATCCTGTCCCACTTCTGATATCAAGTGTCGCTCTCAGTTGAGGTTATCTGTGATCTTATTCGTAGTGAGATGGAGACATATATTTAGTCCAGTGGTATTTCTCCAGGGGGCTCTGAGGCTGCATTTGTGGACAATACTAGACATTCTGGAGTGAATTTAGATTTGTTTTTCCAAGCACTTCCTTTTATTCTGTTGGCATCTCAAAAGGCCAAATTGGGATCAGCTGGCTCCAGCTCCTTTTCTTCAGTTGGTAAATTGAGTGTGTGATGTTTGGGTCTTTCCCCAGTTGCTTTTAAGTGTGTGTCTTCCTTGATGGCAGAAATATCTGAGGGCAAATACTTGATATTGTAGTTTATGCAGGGAGGTTTACTGCACAGTTACATGAAAAGATAGCTATTCTATGTCTGCCACATTTGTCAGAACAACATGCTTTAGTCTACCACTTCCAGATGAATGTGTATTTAGATTCTCAAAGAATAGACCCTCTCCTGGATATTTGGGGTTCCAGAATGGAGTCTGTGGCCAACCTGAATAAATCACACTTTTCTAGGATTCATCTGACCCTAACTATGGTGATAAGATATTTATCATCCCTCTGATTTCTGTCGGAAGCCTTTCAGCGATTGGCACTCAATTTGATGATGAGTTGGGATAATTGTTAGCATCTCCCTTGGTTTGATTGTCAGCTTCTGCACTTTCCGTAGTCTCTTGATTGGTATGTTGTTGGGATTTGCGGAGTAGAAATGCATTGTTGGAGAGCATTCATCTACCTGCTGCCACCCTCCATAAGTTACATGAGGACCCCTTTCTCCAACCCTTGATTTTTGAGAGCATTCCATAGTCTTTGGAATTGAAGGTTGATGTTGCCCCTCTTCATTCATCCCTGTCATTGTTGGCTTCTCGACTTTTCCTGATCTCCTACAGGGGTCATAGTTCTATCTCTATTTGAGTGTTCCGACACTTACTCACCTCTCTTTGGATCTTCTTTATTAGGCCCATTCCCATCATATCATCCTATTAGCTTGCCATGTTCCACATGTGATGAATTTGGTGGCAGATCAATTGGTTCAACCCAACCAGATCCTCCCAACAGAATGGTTTTCCATTGGATTTGTTAATGGTTTGTGACTCGGTTGATCAATACATTTGCCACTCATTGGAACACTCAACCACCAGCAGTTTGGTCTTCGGTACCTCACCCTCAGGCATTGGCAGTAGATGCATTCAGTCAGGACTGGATGGAATAGCACCTCTATGCCTTCCCACCTATTTGTATGTTACTCAGAGTACTAGCTATGATTCGTTCAACCCCATGTCTAGTTCTGTTGATAGCACCAGATTGGCAGGCTCAATCCTGGTTTCCACTTCTGCATTACTTTCAGGTGTACCAAACTCTTCCATTTCCTCATTGGCCATTTCTGTTGTGGCAGCCATGATCTGACATTGTACACCCAGCCATCCAGAAGTTCAAACTTCATATGTAGGTTATGTGGTCTTTTGCTTGGCATTGGGGTTTAATTTCTAAGGTTGTCATGTATCTGTTTCAGTCTCTGCATTGTCCTACAATGGACATTTATCAATGGAAATAAGACATATATTGACAATGGTGTATTGCAAGGAGGTTGAACTCACTTTGTCCAGAAGTGCCAATCATAACTCGTCTTTTGACCTGTCCCTTTGACAAGGGTTTCGCATCTTCCACAATCACCTAAAATAAGGTGGCCTTATCAACTACCTTTAGATACTCTAGGCAAAAATTATTTGAATCCCCAGTGCTTTCCGATCACCTCAAGTTGTTTCAGGTCCTTCATCCCAAACAACAGTTCAACTTACCTAACTGGGATACTTATCTAGTATTATATGCTCTTTCTCAACATCTGTTTGAGCCCTTAGCATTATGTACCATGTATCTCCTTTCCCTTAAGGTTTAATTTTTTTTGCTGCTGGCCTGCAGATGTCACTGGTTGGACAGGACATTTTATCATTCTACCTACATCGTCCTATACCCAGATAGATCCTTCTTACCGATGATCCTGGCAGCCAGGGAAGGAGATAAATTATTTTCACTAATTCATCTGACCACTATGACCAATCTGATTGTTTTTTATGTCCAGTGAGGGCCTTGAAGTGTTAGATTGCCTGCACTAATGCCTTTAGAGGTGCTAGGAAATGACTTTTTATTCATTGGGATCCTTTGGTTTCCCGGGATTTATCCTTGGTAACTTTGTCGAGGTGGATATGAAAATTGATTCATATCGCTTTGTCTGGGCTCTCTTTTGAGATGAGGAAACTTCTTATAGTCGCGTCTCACCAAATTCATCATGTTTTTATGTCTTTAGCAGCCTAGTTGAATTGTACGCTGGAGGACATTGTGCAGGCTGGTATATGGACTTCCTCCAATTTTTTTATCTTGCATTATTTGCTTTATCTGGCAGTATCTCCATCTGAGGGTTTTTGAATATCCCCAGGTGGGAGTATCTTCATTATTAAAATTGTCTCTTCTTTACTTTCCAGGATCCTTTACCTCTTTTTCACAGGATCTCACTCTGTGGAAAATGTTGCCCAGTCAGGTGTGCTTTTATCAAACAAATTCTGCACTAACAATCACTAACACAATATACTTTATCCAGGTTGCAACAGGCTCTGTAGAAATGAGGTGTTGTATATGACCACCCAGAGGCAGACTGGGTATTATTAATTTACTATGCTGAACTTACACTCATGGACTATCATGAATAAAGCATAAAGGGATCCAGCCCATCCCTGCCAATCATTGGATTGAATAAATCAAGGTCGGTTTGATTTTAAAATTTTAGGGAACTTGGTTCACCTATTGCACTGTTTCCAGAGCATTGTTCCTCAGGACTCCCCAGTGTGCATTACCCCTCCCCCCTCATATTCTACTAGTGGTGCTAGGGAGTCCTTATGGATGTTTTTTTCCCCAGATGTTGGTAGGAGAGGCACCAGCTTGCTGGGGAGCCTACTTTGTAATGTTGTTTCAGATTTGGCACTCAGCTATTTGCTTGGGTTGAGTGTGACCCTTCTTTTTTGATCAATATTGCTTCAGTATGTTGTTCATGGAAGAGGGTCCATTGTCTCCTCATAATTCCAAATGCAGAGTGGTTCCATCCTGGGTCCTTGGTTGATCATTCTTTGTTCCACATCCTCCCCATAATTCCAGATAGAAGTGGAATTTACTTTTCCTACATGATTGGGGAGTGAAAATGAGTGTCATAATTCCAGATCAGATGAGTTCTGTTTCCTCAGGTTGAGTATGGCATACAGGGTCTCACCATTCTGAGTTTGAGGTGTTGTCTTTTGGACTTTTTCAGGTAGAGGAGAGGGTTTGTCTACTTCAGTGTTGCTTACCTTCTTGTTGTGATTTCGGTGGCTCAGAATGAATCACTCTATAGTTACGGGTAGGGATCCACTCACAAGTATGTGTATTGCAGTCCAAATGCCCTAGCCACCACTGTGGGGTTTAAGGACCATGGCCCTATAATTCCAACCTTGAGCAGTGAAACCTTGGATATCTGGTTAGGGCCTGGTCAATATCAGTGACAAATTATGCAAAATTCTACCCACAGTGCATGAATTAGATTCTGGGTGAAGAGCATACCTGTTTTGAATGTAGTACAGTTCTCCCACTAAGATGCTAATCTTCTATTGGCATGCCCACAATATATGCAGATGCATTCTGTATGGATAATGCCCTCACTTGTCCCTCCACCTTATCAACGTGGGATTCTAGCTGTAGTGTGAGAGGAGGTAAGTATGTTTTGGAAGTTAACATCTTCTTAAATCGAAAATATATTTCCAATACTACTTACCCCCTCTCACACTCTCCAGCCCTTCCTCCCCACTAAGAGCCGGTGGTAGAGGCTGCAGAATGGCTCAGTCTTGAAAAAGTGATAGTAATATCTGAACGAGCTGCTTATATACACTACCAAGATACGCAAGTGCTATTGAAAATTCATTTTTGATTTAAGAACATGGTAACATAAATATATGTACCTGGAAGTAATCAAGTTTAAATGTGATGAAACTGTGTTATTACTTAGTAGTAACTTAAATTTTTAAGATTTAAAATAGTTAAAATGCTGTAAAGACATACACATATTAAAAGTACATATACTTACAAATATATATTATTTTTCAGAATACAAAACTAAAGAATTGGGGACTGAAGCATGAAAAAACATTACTGCAGTCAATAAGTAATAAAAAAACAAAATTTTATAAACTTGCTGTCATTGGATCAGGCAGTTGGGCATCTGCCATTGCTCGAATTGTGGGACACAATGCTAGGCATAATGACCTGTTTGATGAAACTGTTATGATGTATGTAAGACAAAGAATTTTTAAAGGAGAAAAACTTACTGATATTATAAACAGTCAACATGAAAACCCTTGTTATCTTCCTGGTTTTAAACTACCTGACAACATTTTTGCAGTTTCAGATGTTGTTGAGGCTGCAAGAAATAGTGACATTATAATTTTTGTCATGCCTCACAAATTTGTTAAACAGACTTGTACTCCATTGATTGGCCAAATTAAACCCTATTCTATTGGTGTGTCTCTCATCAAAAGTTTTGATGTTGATGATTCTGGTGAAATAAGACTAGTATCTGATTGGCTGAGGAAGAACCTTAATATTGATGTCAGTGTTCTTATGGGTGCCAACATTGCACATGAAGTTGCAGCTGAATTTCTTTGTGAAGCCACTCTTGGCACTTATGATGAACAAGTTGGAAATATTTTAAAACAGTTATTTGAAACAGATTATTTCAAAGTGACTATGAGTACTGATTTATCGACCATAGAACTGTGTGGAGCTTTGAAGAACATAGTAGCCCTTGCATCGGGTTGTGTTGATGGTCTTGGTTATGGGAATAATACGAAGGCTGCCGTGATTCGCCTTGGATTGACTGAAATGATCAAATTTGCCCAGTGGTTTTATCCAAAGGCAAAACTAGAGACTTTTTTCCAGAGTTGTGGGGTTGCTGATCTGTTAACAACATGTTATGGTGGTCGAAACCGGAGGCTGGCTGAAGCTTTTGTCAGGACTAGACAAAAACTGAATGAATTAGAAGCAGAAATGCTTGAAGGACAAAAACTCCAGGGCCCTGAGACTGCAGATGCAGTGCATAGGGTTTTGAAAAAACAAAATCTTGAAGAACATTTTCCTCTTTTTGTTGTTGTGAATAAAATATTTACAGGACAGCTACCTCCAACAGAGCTAATAACATGTGTTCGACATCATCCACAGTTCCGAAATCTGGTTTAGATACAGATCATGTAATGTATGTATGTCAGATTATTATTTTCTTGTTTGTAAGAATTTGAGTTTGGAATATGTTTGGGTACCACTATGTGACTGAACATCTGGTCAGACTCAGGTTACAAGTTTATTTTTCCCTGAGAAAGCTCTTGACAGTGGTAGTTTTTATTAAATGGTTTGGTGGTAGGTATAGCTTTCAGCTATTTTTAACTATATATATATAAATAAATAGAAAATTAGTACTTAAACGGTTAAGCAAAAATTAACATCAAAAGTAAGGACTGCATTAAAAACAGCAAATTCAAACCTTTTTTTTTCTTTGGAGAGCAGTCACCTTCCCACAACTTTCTACAGGCAATGATGGATGATATAGATGTGGGATATTGTGAGCTTGGGCACCCACATATCTTACTCTTCTAACTTATATTTTTTTGATGATTTTATTTGATTAATATATATATATGTATATTTTTTCTTCAACGTGTGAGACTGGCGAACAAAGGTTAACACTGGTCCACAGTGTATCCCCACTGCAATGTGAGTACTACTTCTACAGTCACCTCCAAAACTCAGAGCATATTTTATATCCCACATTATAGCTTGTACCCTGGGGATCCTTTTAATTTATGCAGCATCCTCAGTTTTGTTTTTTGTTTGAGCCTGTTTTTTTCATTGATATATATACACACATATATGAGCATAGTGACTTCTTAAAATATTCAAATTCACAAGATGTATAATTGTAATTGAAATTATCATTTTTTTTTGCTGGGATTACTATATTAAGTGAAAGTAAGAGAAACCACTTTGAGAGCCAGTGCTCTAGCAGAATGAAATTCATGATGGGGCCCAAATGAAGGAGCAAAAGTGTGAAGTGAATCACTGAAATGTTTGTGGTTCATTGAAATGCCTATTTCCATTAATTAATGTAAACAAGAAACATTTAGTGCTCAAATCATCAGAGTAGGGTCAGTTTGATGTAAATTTAGAAAAAAATAATAGGTTTAGGTTTCATGGTAGTTGTATTCAAAAAGTTATGTATGTATATAGTATAAAAAAAACTTGGAAGTTATCCAAATTAACACTAAATTACATTTATACAATGAAGGGTTTATAACTTTTTATGGATAAATATGTAGTCAGTAGTACTTGAGTGTTGAAAGTAATTAAAGTTGGTGGTTGGATGGAAACCACTTTATTTTCTAGAATATTTTGACAGCTTCTTAACATTAATATAAACATATATATATAAAGTTTTTAGTGAATTTTATTATTAAGAAAAAAATTACAATTTAGATGTCTTTCTGTAAAGGTGTAGAAAATGTTTCTGTGTTGTTTTCAAAAGTATAGCATGATCTCATACAAAACATGTGGTTTGTAGTTATAAGTTCACAATCCCTAGTTCGTATTTTATGCTTCTTGTAGGTGACACAGTAATAAGGATGTATATAGTCTTTATCAGTTTTTTTTACTGTACTCTAGTGTCAATTTTTGTAAATTGTCACACCTTGTTTAAATAAAGTATGCAACATCATGATTATTTACTGAACAGTTTCATTTCTTTTAATTGTACATTTTCTGGAATGCTGCCTGTCACCATGTTATGATATGATCTTTGTTATAAAAAAATGTGCAGAATTTTCAAGTAATTTTGTTTAATCATTTATCAAAGATAGAAGCTGATATATGGACTTCTTAGTTAGCAAGTTTTGCCTATTTTTTATTTTGCACTAGCACATGACACTTTATTGCCAGGGTGTTTTTTTTTTTTACGCTGACTTACTTTATTTTTTATGTGTGTGTTCCTCAACTTTCAATTTTATACATTTTAATATAAAAATGTCAGTTCGCTCTAGGTTACAAGCATGCCACAAGAAGCGATAGTTGAATTTTTGAGTAATATCTTGCCCTTATTAATCCACTACACCAAAGATTATGTAAATATGAATTCTAACGTTTTATTATAATCTTTAATGAATACGTAAGATCAACACATGATACACCAAATTCAGAAAAAAATCCTGAAAAAACTAATCAGGATGTATTTTCTCCGACTGTGAAATTTGGCCAGCTTTCATATTAGCTAACCCAGCTAATTAATCGGTTGACCTATTCCGTACTGGAAGTTAATAAATTTTTGTGCAAAATATTTTCAAATGTACATTGTATTTCTGAAAGAAAAAAAAAACAGTTCAGGTATTCGAAGTTGTTTGACAGGCAAGAAAAATTGCATATTTCCTGTGATTAAATAATTTGATCATTTCTTTGTTGGTATCGTTGTGTTGAAAAGACACCTCGCCATATTATATGCGTAGCAGCAAGTGTTATAATATTTTGACACTGATTGTTTTTTCATTCTGACTGTTAGTAGCTGGGTATATCGAATTAGTTGGGCAAATTGCTCAGCCCGAAGAAAGGAACAGTAACTACTTAACGCTGGGTCTTTGATAATACGGAAAGTATATTCAAAAATTAAATTAATATAGTTGATTGTAGTGCCCTCTGTTGGTATATAAGCGCATAAGACACGTTTATGAACTATCAGCCAAATATAAGTTGAATTTATTACTCCAATTTGCGTCAAGTGTTCTAAGTAAGCTTACATTAAAAGTTATTGTTTTCTTTTATCGTTTATGCATTTTGGAAAGAGAAACCTTTTTTTTTCGTGACAGTACGTTTTTATAATAAAATATATCTCCTTGTCCATTGTGTAGCTTTGTGCTTAATTACAAACAAACAAACCATGTCTGCGGATCTATACTGCTAGAAACCGGGTTTCGATACTCGTGGTGGGCAGAGCACAGATAGCCGTTTGTGTAGCTTTGTGCTTAATAACAAACAACAACAACAACTCCTTGTCCAAAAAAATGATCATAACGACTATTGACCAATAAATCTGTTATTCACGCACACAAACAACCGTATGTATATAGGAGATATCCATCAACAAACTTCACGTTTTGTATATTATATATACAAGCCTAACGTAATATATTGATTGTTGTTCTTTACTGGAATATGAGCTGGGACAATAGACGTTCGAGAACAGTATTTTTATCATTTTAAAATATTGTGGTTTGCACGTGAGAACTATAATCAAGAAGTGAACTTCTTGTGATTAGACCGCAGTTGTTGCTAATTAACTGAAATACACTAATAAATGACGATTTGAATAACATATTACATAGATATCTTTAAATCTTGGATTGTGTAACATTGTTTCAAACAAATGGTATATTTGTGTATACTTCTCTGTAATCCCCCCCCCCCAAATAATAACAATAAGTGATTCGGGGATCTCTTTAAAACTGCTCTATTACACAAATTTGAAGAAGAGGTGTTAAAATGTATAGAGTTCACGTGTATCATTGTGTAACTGTTTAATGTTAATTAACAAAGTATTATACGATATTTTGGGTATCTTGTTCACTTGTAGTTATCATGAGTTTAACAGACGGCGCATTCATGCCTAGACTTTTTCTGGACTGATTGTAATCCGTCTGATGTTAGTATTTAATTGTTTGATTTTTCTAAGCACTTCTTCATAACATTCGTTGTCATGTATATACAATGGAGTCTACATTTGTTTTAACAGCTAACTTTCTGAGGCTGTCTCTTGATTCGTTGTCATGTATATACAATGGAGTCTACATTTGTTTTAACAGTTAACTTTCTGAGGCTGTCTCTTGATATGTGTTCTCTTCCAGCGGTTATCGTAATCCGATTTTTATCGTTATCTAAATAATTTTGTATTCAATATTTGCGCCCCCACCCACACGTGAAGTGCACTTCAAAATTCAATATATGTGGCCAATTAATTGGAGAGTGCCCTGCTCTTTAATTAAGATTCATGAAATATAATCCACTCAACCGGTTTAATTAGTAATTTTTGATGAATATATATTACATAGCACAACACCAGTGGATAAAACATTCTTATTTTTAAAATAGTTAATTTCAGAGAGAAATACGAACATGCCAAACTTGGCATTTCTTCTTTAACCTTTTTGTTTTTCGTGTCCACATGCATGGTGTTGCAAACATTTCAATGTGCCTTATTCCACTGTTACTGTTTTCCAAAGATTTCACACATAAGCAGTTTGTACCCGTTTTGTGTGTATGTGTCTTAATCTAAAGCGTCAAAGGAATATATAAGTGTTTTCTCCACTGGTATTTTGCTGACAAGTAGATAAATAAATCAGTTTCCTTGGGGATGTACTAGAATGAGAGAACTGGTGAAACCATTTGTATACATCGTTTTTTTAAAAAAAATATGTTTTCATTTTTATTCTTGGGGGTTTGATAAAAACTAAAACACTGGATTTACAGTTACAACATGGTCGGAATTATTTTTAAAGCACTTGCGTATTTATTACAAATTTTTGTTGTTAAATTCTGAAAAAAAGAAATTAAGCATGACATATTTACCATACAAGTTTTGAAGGTCAAAGGTATCATCTGTTGAGACTGGGTCTTCCTTTGTAAGAAAGCGTTTGCTTGTTTGTAGTTAATCGCAAAGCTGCACAAAGGGCTATCTGTGCTCTGCCCACCACGGGTATCGAAACCCGATTTCGTATCATCTGTTGAGACTGGGTTTTTCCTTTGTATTAAAGCGTTTGTTTGTTCGTAGTTAATCGCAAATCTGCACAAATGGCTATTTGTGCTCTGCCCACCACTGGTATCGAAACCCCGGTTTCTAGCGTTGATATCAAATGTACCCCTTACGAAAGAAAAATAAAGTACGGCTTGGCAGATGTGCAATAAATTTAAAATATGTATAATTAATTAATACTTAGCTCATTAGCTAACCAGTAAATTTATAATGCCTACGAAATTACATGAGCAACGTCTTTTTTTTTTCAGTAAACTTTTGATAAAATCCATACCTAATCAAACCTGTTAGAATTCTATAAGGTGATGGTTATTAACCTTATTTCTTAATTCTGTAGTTCATTTCTAATGATATAAAGATTGGTCGTAAGGTTTGTTTGTAGTTAAGCACAAAACGGGTTGTCCGTTTTCTACCCACCTCAGGTATCGAAACCCAATTTTTAGCGTTATATTTCTTGGTCAACATCAAACGTTCACCTTACTAACTACAGGAGGTAAGAAATACTAGGTATGCGTCTACATAATACATTCTTATTCATAAGAAAAAAGACTATATCACTGAAACTAACCGCCAACGTAATACACCTATTGCTACAAACAACAAAAGCGCTCACTCGGGACTCTTTAATCAGTTTGTTAAATCCATCAATGAAAAGCTTGAACGACTTTTCCAAAATAAACAGAACAAATTTAATTATGTGTGATCCAAGCAGGCTTCTCTAGGGAGAACTTATCTATTATATAAACTACACAGACTTAATCATTTTGGATGTCCTTTCACTTTTAACATAAATTTGACCACCAAAGAACCGTCTACTTATGTTGACCATCACACAAAAGGCACTTTTGCCATTCGAATTTTTTTATATTGAAGATATGACATATTTTATAAATAATATTGAGGAAATAAATGGCAACATATCATCACTTCTTTATAGACATATGTAATATGGATAAATTCTCCCCTATACACTAATTTAAACACAATGGAAGACTAGAAATTTTGAAAGCTGTTTAAATCAATGCAACTCTTAAAAAAAAACTATTGATCTTGT